TTCTTTTTTGCCGGGGCGGGGGGAGGAGTGATGTTTTTAATGGTAGGAAGTAGTATCAACATGTTAATGTCTTCGTTAAAAATGCTAAGTCAATGATTTTTTTTTTTTAATTAAGAAATGCCAGGAATGGTCATGCTACCTTCAGCCAGCCCCTCAGTAGTATTCATTAATCACAGTCAGATTTGATTTTTAGAGCACAAGCCATTATTAATATGCATGGGGACACACAGAGACACATGTAAATATCATTGGCAGAAGTTCTGAAATTCCGACTAGTTAATCTGTTTCACATAAGAACTGCAGAGTATTTCTCCCTCTTTGTTACGAAAAAATACGTACCAGTTAAAAGAACAGTTTCACTATGCAAGTTAGAAACTCCCTTCCCCTCCTCCATCTCCACTTTTACAATCTCTGGACTGAAGTCTGTATCTATGGAAAAGCATGTTATGACCACAATAGGAAATAGGGCCAATTTTGAGTCTGGTTTGTGTGTTTCCAAAAATTTCAAGACTTATCATAGTGTTTTTAGTCCTTAGATGAGTTCCAGGCATAATGCTCATCAGGCACCAGACAGACGCACAGTTAAGAGGCTGTGTTTGTTCCAAATTTACAGCCCAGACAGAGAAGGTAACTAGCAATGTTTGAAGAACGGGAGAAGGCTGTCCTGTTCAACAGCTGAGTGGGAGTTCATGTGGGAGGGATCTCACACCTCACCCAAAATCACAGGACTGCAGCTGAATTTAGACATAAGCCCATTATTTTTTAAGGTTCTTGCCTACCGCTCAACCTTTAAACCATTCTTCAGCTCTCCCTGGAGGGCACTCATCCCATCTTTAGAGCTGACAGCACAACCCCAAGTCACATAAAATTTCTTCCGTGCTTTGGTACAACCGGAGTATACCTCACCACAAATGCCAAGAATTTGCCAAGTCCCATTGACGTTGCTTGTTCGAAAACCAAACTGGCATAAAACCAAACTTTTTTCCCTTTAAAGAAATCTACAACAATTAAAAATCTAAAAAGGTAAGAACTGAAACTTCTAGTGGCTTGCAGAATCCCTTAGCAAGTGAAAAGCTACAAAAAAAACAAACCAGACCCAACCACAGCTGATTATCCCTTTCCTATGTAGCCATCAGCCAGCCTAGGTAGCCATTAGCACTACTCAGAACAGCTTCCACCCATGCCACACACGTAGCATTATGTTCTGGTGGCAGAAAGCTAGATAGCTTTTTTCCGTGCTGCACAACTGTGAAACTGTAGAATCTAACAAGAAAAAAGAGAAAAGAAGGAAAAAAAAGGAGCCAGAAAAGTCAGTAGGGAAAACTTTTGTTTTCCTGGGATTACAGACAACTGCTGAATTTAGATGAATATAGAAGTTTACTTGTTATTGTTTCCAAGCCAAAACTTCATACGCTAGTCTCATGCCAGCATGAAAAGTCATTTCAGTCGAAAGTCCTAAGGCAAAGCTGTAAAAAAACTCTAGCACTCAGAAACCCAAACAACACTAAGAAGGATTGTTCTAAAACCAGGTTATTACAGCACCACGTATCTGCAGCTCGTCAGAATAACAACATGAAAAGAAGGAAAGGAAAATAGGAGTAATCATGTGTGTGCCACCTCCATTCCCTTCAAAAATATGCTTTACAAAGATACTCCCCACCCTGCACACTCTCAATGCACAGAAGCCTTAAACTACATCCATCCTGTGTGCCAGTCCCACAAAGTGAGTCCACAAGCTATACAGCTACAGGTCTCACTAGTGGCTGCGCAGAAAAATGTAACGTAAATGCAGGTCGCCAGTGAACAGTTCAGTCTGGTATTCCAAGCCACATGGAGATCTCTTCCTGACAAACGCAAGAGCAAAGAATCACCCCACTCACTCATTTAAAATATATCACTTGCACACTATTATCACCATGTTGCAAACTGCAGCAAGCGCACGTCACCCTGCATTTCAGCGGCCCCGGTACTCTCCAATTACTGTTCTCGGTTATCTTTAGTGGTGCCTGCTGTCAAACAGCTTCGCATTGCACCCCATCAGCGGGCATTGGATGTATACGCACAAATGCAAACATCAACACACGCTCTATTTATACCCTTGGAGCCCTTAGCCTGACCTAACACCTCACTGAAATCAGCCAAAGTCTTTCCGGCCGTAAGTCGTCCTTTGGAAACAGCTTTCCTCTCCCTTGACCACTCACACTGTCCCCGCAGCAGGAGATGTGCCACGTCCTCTCTGTCCTCCTGACAAGGGCTTGCTGGCTAGGAGCAACCTCAAGCACTCAAGGCAGCAATCATATCCAACAGATATTTTGAAGGCTCTCTTCAATAAGGGTAAATGAGAGTAGATTCCAGAAAGCCCCGTCGGTCAGGCTACCTGCCTGCTGCTAGCATGAGGGAAAGGCCCCACTTTTCTGGCCGTACGCACACTCCTGCTGCTTACCCAGTGGGTGCTTCCAGAAGCAAACATGGGGAGCAGCTCTCTGCCATCCTGCCAGTAAGTGAAATCGGCTTAGGAAAGGCTCTGAAAAGTGCCAGAGTGTTGGAGGAGGCAGGACTGTGTGGCTGAAAGGAGGAGATCAGGAAGGAGGATGGGCAGGACCACCTTCTCCTTTCAGCACCCGCGAGGTGCTCTGTGAGCTCGCATACATGTATATGTGTGGGTATATATATATATTTATATATTTATATATGTGTATGTGAAACTGTACAGTTAGTGTCTTTCTGCAGGTGACAGAGACACCGAACGCACTTATGCAGGGACACTTCCTTCCAGAGCTCACGTGGCCCCAAAATAAAGACACATTTGCAAAATATGGGACAAACCGAGGAAAAAAGAAAAACCAGTGCAGATGGATGGGTGTCATGCCTATCGCACCTACTGATGTGAGATGGAGAGATTCTTACATGAAGAGCAGCATGGAAAATATGTTGTTCATTTTAAATCAGCCCAAGATATTTAGAATAGTCTGCCTTCCTCACCTTCCCCGGAAAAGCCAGCTGGCATGTAGATGGATGAACAAATTTGAGCGTCCTTTTTTTGGGCAAGCGTAAATAACAAGTTTTGACCCACAGTTTCTAAATGCTGTCTGCTTACAGAAGAATAAAAAGCCTTGATCAGCTTAAAACCAAGTTTACATTTACTCAAGCACACATATCATGTGGGACAGCATTTAAACTTGCGCCCGTGGTCTCGACAACCTGCAGAGTCATGTGGATTTCATTAAGGGAGTTTGGAGGCTTTCTCGTGTTTTTCCTTTTTTTTCCACCCCTCCTCATCACAATACTTGAGCCACTACAAAACCTTGCGTAAAATTCATTGAAAGTAGTTCATCAGCGTGGACTGGGTTTAATGTTTACTCAGGCCAGTTAAACCAGACATTAGCCAGGTTTAACCTAATTTGAGGAATCAGTATTAAGCTGCTGCCACTTAACAAGTTACTATATATCAGCTGAGCCACTGTAACTACAACTGCTTTTCCACAACACAGTGAACGTTAAGATACAACTCACTGGTACAGACATCTGTCATCAAGTGATTGCATTTGATTTGTACATGCCATGGGCTGAGCAGCAGGCACTCGGTCAGGTACCGTGACTCAGCCAACGTCTGACAACACCTTTCTATGTCGGAGCTTTGGCCAGTGCAGCAAGCCCCCTTCAAGGAACAACTAACTGGCTCAGATTCTCATGCCCCTTTCACCTAGAACTGCTTAATCTCTGTTGGCCCAAGTGAACAATGTCTGAAAAGGAGTAATTTCCAGACTCTAAACTGCTTAGATGTATGTCCAACGTACTTGAAAGCAACGTTCAAGTTGGACTGCTCTTCATCTCTGCCTTCTTCAAGGCAGAGAAGCTCTCTCCACTGTGGTTAAAGAGATGCAGTCAACCAAAAGAGACTGCTTTGATTCTTATTACTTACCATTTCTATCAAGTATCTTTAATCATGGTGACTGAAAGATTAGAGAAACGCACATTTTTCATTTTACTTTGTTCTTTTTTTTTTTTGATGGCACTGTGTATAACCCACTTCAATTACCCTTTGCCTCATGTGGGTGTTTCACAGCGCCACAGAGGAGAGAACACATTTTTTAAAATGACAGGAAAGAATAGTTGAAAAGCCATAAATACCAGCAGGACTCAGAGGCTAGTCTAATACCTGCTATTACACTTAATAGTATTTGTTTTCATTTTAAACTGATCAAACTCTCAGGTGACAGTATTCCTTTAATCTACTCACAAGAAAATACGCAGTCTCCTATCACCACCTGAAAGGCAAACAGCAGAGCTGCTCTCCAAGAGCCATTACTTTAAAGGAAAAAAAAAGCAAGCAATCCCTAACCATAACTTTAGAGTTTTAACCCTATGTTACCCATAGCTCATTTTTGTAACAAGACTGTCAAGATGAAAGATTTTAAATCATCGCTAACATAATTCAAGGCAAACATAGCTAATTTCATAGAGTCATTTCATCTATCATGCATTTCAGCTTCCTTACGAAAGAGACAGTCTTCCTTCTGCGAGCTGCTTGTAACCAGAAAGCAGCTAAATAAATTACAGGCAGGACTTCTGCTACCGTAATTTCATTATTGGCGTGTGACCTTTATTTGTAACAGAAGGCCTCATGGTAGCACAGGTATGACTACGCCTGGCATCTACAGTAAGGAAGGATTCCTTCCTTGCTGCGCTGCATTTTATAGACAATTTCCTCTTTTTACAGTAAATAAACGTGTGCAATGGGGGAATAATACATCTAAATTTTAAGAGAACAGGAGAAGCAAACCTATGGCAGGGCTTCACATCACATTCAGAGGGAGCTTCCACTGAAGAAAGGAGAAGCTGCCCAGAAATGAACGTCCAAACATGGATTACAAACTACAGTTTGGAGTACGAAGCAGAAAGTGGACAGACCAGAAGATGCTTGTTTGATTCAGAGAGCTTGCTGGCTCATACAATAATACTAGATACTGCTGGTTGTGAGAAATTACAAAATGCAATAGGATTTGGAGACTTTCTTTTTTCGATTGAGATGAAGAAGGAAAAAAATCCTCTTTAGCTACTTAATAAATTTTCATTACTTACCGAAGGATCTACTTGATCATTTGTTACTCCCCTCAGGACAATCTTTAATGGGTGTTTCATGAAAGGTGCTAGACAGAGCAGACTTTCCAAATAATAGCCAATACTGCGACTGGGGCTGCAGTCATGTTCCAGGGAACCTCCATACAAAAGACCAGGCTGATAATACAAGGTTGTACCTGGGGGAAGACATCGTATCAGAGTGTTGTCAGCGCACCAGCCACGACTACAGCGTAAAGATACTTTGCAGTGATGAGTACCAGCAAACTGGAGACAAAAGAACATATGAGGCAGGTAGCGCTTCCAGCACACTTCTTCCATGTCAAGAATCCTTTAATCATGACAAAAAATGCTTACGGAGGCCACTGTCATACTTCCACAGCAGCCGAACCTTTACCAGAGCAGGTCATTGCCATCCCAGCGCACCTAGTGGTAGGTTATCTGCTCTACTGACCCTATGAAACTCTTAGAAGTCCCTGTAACATTATACAAGAGAACAAAAACCCGTTGAGATATCTCCGTCGGAAGCTTCTCCGTCCAGCTAACTCCTCTTTCGAGCATGACTAGGCAAGTACAAACCTTGCCTTCTACAAAAACCCCTTCTGGTTCAGAGGAATCTTCCTCCACTAGGAAATCCTGCATATCAAACAGAACAGAAAATTTAAAGTCTCGAGCAACGCGTTTTCCTTGACTCGCTGCATTATGGTGGAACATGCTCTTCTTGCCTGTGATCTACCGCTACAGAACTTCTCAGCCTGATTATGTCTGGTCTGCTTGGTCTTTCGTACCAAGCTATCTAACATACTCAGCCCTGGCAAGCCAAAACTTTTCTTTTACTGCAGCACATGATAGAGTCTGGTAGACCAGCACAGAGGAAGACGAGAAGAAAGCTCTCACCTGTTTGGTTTATTTCAATCCTAGAGCCATTGGTCACTTTGTCAATGAGGCGAATAAAACTTGCTTCAAAATCTGAGGAGGCAAAAAAAAAAGAATTTTAAAGTTTCTTAAACATGTTCCTGAAAACAATAAGAAACTTCAACACATAACATACCATACCTATACGTTTTCCCTTTCCGGCCATCCATGACACTCTCTGGAAGACAGTAAGACTACCCTCACTCTTCTGATTGTTGCAGTGCAATTCTGCCACATGGAAAAGGGCACTTGACTATAAATGCAGAGGCCTAAATTTGAGTCTCATGGGCCTCTCAAATCAGTGCAGGTGCACCCAGATGTGACCATGGGATGAGCCATGTCGCTCTCCCCTGCTTACAGCGAGGTATGGGAGCTGGCACATCTGATCACAGTGGTCTGAGGGGTCACTGGTGCCCAGCATAAAGCCTTTTTAGTTAGTAGAAAGGTCACCTTTGCACATATGCACAAATTCTAGCAAACAGGACCCTGTTCATTTAGGCCTGAGAAGCTTCCCATTATTTTTTGTAGAAGTCTTATTTGAAAAGAAGCTGACCTTCAGATGTAAAGTATACAGCTGTTCCAAAAACACCGTCATGATATCTGTCCACAGACTTTTGACTTTTCCCAAACCATTAATGACGCAATAAAGGCTAGAGAAATACAAGTCTTCCCGTTACCTCTCTTTCGTCTTAGAATGTGCATTGTAGCACCTTGTACGAAACTAAATACTGAGTTTCTCCTGCTTGTGCAGGATCTCTCTCAGAGCCACGGGAAAGAAACAAGCATGAAAAAAGGAATGTTAGTATTCTAGTATTTAGGTATCCTAAGTTGGCAGACCCTCACTATCAAGGAAAATACAGTTTAAATATAACTCAAAAATCAGTTAATTTTAAGAGCCACCAGCACCTGCGTAATTGTGAATTGGTTGTACAACTTCATTAGCAGTAATGCTACAGTAGTCCTTAACCAGCTATCAGATTTTTATTCCTATGTATGCTTCTAGGATGCAATAAACATTTAAACCAATGAGCTATTTGCAGGAATTACAGTTTGTTAATCAAGCCTAGTATGCTTGATGACGCAGACACACAGCACTGGTTCTGCTCTCTGCCCTGAGAATTTGTACGCTCAGCTTTACATGATAGTCCTGAAATCACTTCCAGGAGGGAAGCACATCCTCATGAATAGCTGCTACCCTCTTCAGGGACAAACTGATATAAAAGTTTTCCTTGCAAAGGCTCTAGCTATGAAAAGCAGAGAGCGCTGCATGTTTAATAAACTTCTTTCCTGTGAGGGCGACGGAGCATTGGAACAGGTTGCCCAGAGAGGTTGTGGAGTCTCCTTCGCTGGAGATATTCAAAACCCGCCTGGGCGTGATCCTGCACAATGTGCTCTGGAGGACCCTGCTTCAGTAGGGGGGTTGGACTAGATGATCTCCAGAGGTCCCTTCCAACCTCAACCGTTCTGCGATTCTGTGAGTCTGTAATATCAGCACTAATTAGGGTTTGTTATTGTGCTTTTTCTGCTACAGTCACAGTTTGTATTTTAACCCATGCTCGGAAAATATAACTCACCTATTTAAAAAAATAGCAAAAACTACCTTCATCACAAGCAAACACTCCATGGTAGTAATAAATACTTGGGGTCTTGGTAAATGTTAAGTACATAAGAGTGTTTTGAAAGTTTAACAGGAAAACTTCTGGCTACGAACTGAAGCCTTCTCAGGAGTACCTGTGCAGGTGCTAGGCCTGTTCTCCACTTTGCAGCTTGCCCAAAAAAGAACTAAGTGATGTATCTGAGATAGCTGGCCCTCCTGACTGCCACTGTCATGGCCGTAGGAATGACTAGATAGTACTTATTACCAACTGCAGAAGTATTGTAACGTGTTACCTTTACTCCTATTTGGCCATAGAACAGATAAAAGTCAAGGAATAAACTCCGATCCAGTAAAATTGCTGGAACTTTGGCTCCAACAAAGAGACAGAAAGAAAGCCGTTGGGTACAGGGCAACCACGGACGGCTGCAGGGCCAGCAAGTCCTGCAGCTTTTGAGCAGAGAGCCCACTTTTATACAGAAACTGTCCCGTGCTGGAGCTGGCCATGTAGTCCATGTGCAGTCCAGTGGCTCAGGCTCACCCTCGGCATCTCCCCCTGTCGCCCTGCCTGCAATGCCCGATGCCTCACTGCAAGGAAAACCAGCTGGAGTGGCCTGGGAGCACAGAGCCAGCCCTCTGCAGAAGTGCTCAGCGGGGCAGGGAAGCCAGAATTACCCAGTTACCTGATGCAGTCTGCCCCACAAACAAGGCAGGCCTGTGAGTGGGCAAACGCAGCCGCACGGGAAGGTCCAGAGGCTTTCGAGGCCACGTCCAATCCCACCACCGCCGGCACACATGACTCAAGCTGCCCACAAGGCGTTCGCCTCCCCACCCCCCCG